TAAAAGAAAGTCTATTCGCCCGGGGCGTGTTTGTCTCTCATCAGGGGCGTGTCTCTCTTGTCAGCTGAGGGGGCGTGTTTATCTGCAGGTCCGTCTGCCCGATCCGGCACGGCTTACTGCTCACGGTAGCTGTGACAGCACAGGAGTATCTGCGCCCACCGTATAAGAAGCGGCCGCGGGCTGCGACTGCCACCATTCTGTGACGAGCCGCCGTCGTGCCTGCGACGGACCTCCGAGTGCCCCCTGGTGCCCGCCCGATGGCGCTGTTTGCCGTACTCGCCTGGCTCCGGGAGAGAAGTGAAGAACAGCGTCAGAAACAGGACGGTTGCAGCTGTGTGACGCTGCCATCTTCGCCGAGAGGACGATCTCATTTTGCGGGAAGATCGCATGTGGTAGCGGGGGACAGGTGCCTGGCTCGGTCCCCATCGCCATCACCGTCTCTGTCACCGCCCCAGCCTCGGAGAATTGTCGCCTCTGCCGAGCGCGCCATGAGACGACTAAACCAAGATATCGCCGATGAGTACGACCGGGTATTCGGAGTGTCATTTGGAGCAGTGCAGCGTGGACCTTCCCCTATACAGCCACTGGAACTCCAACCTCCCAGACTTGTGGAGACCTCGCGTCGAGCGCAGGTGAAGCTTTCTGAGAGTGCTTTAATGGTGGCTCAACCAGTGAGAAAAGAACCCGATCCCTGTCTGCAAGAGTTTTACACATCCACGACACGGTGGACCTCGCACCACCGCTCATCGTCGTGTTTTGTGCTCGGCTCAATGGCTGATGACCTACACGGTTCATCAGACGCCATCGGAGGCTGCTGTAGTGCTTCGGCGTGGCCCACGACACGAACACAGCGCCAGGATCTTCCGAAGAGATTGTAAAGTCGCCACCAGCGGTAACTAAAGAAGCCGCCATCGCCTCAGCTCGTGTGCAGTTAACCCGCGCCCGGCTGGGGGTCCTGAATTTCCACGCCCTGCTGGGGGGGGGGGGGGTGTTTGAACACCCCCCCCTTGTAACTCGGCTCCTGGGCCACGTAGCGATACGCGGAAGGCGGCGTTCGAAAGAGCGTCAAAAATAATGACGAAATCACTTCAGTCAATTTTTTGGTCAGGTCAAAGGTCAGGTCACCAGAGGTCATTGAAGGCAAAATTTCGCCGATTTCCAGGTCGAATGTCGAGAATTTCCAAGAAGCCAACGCATAACTCGGGAACCAATAGAGCTACAGCGCCGCGGAAAAGCGCATTCGATAGCCCTATTAACGCCCCTTCTGAGTAATTCTCTCAGATTTGACCTAACGTCAACGGTTTTGCCTGCAGGGGGAAAAAACTGCAAAAATAACCGATTTTTTCGAGAACAGTTTTTCTGCAATAACTTTTGACCCAAGCCTTGTACGAGCTTACTTTTACCGGCATCGTGTTCCTCTCGTCAAGACGCATCGAATGAATTATAACTTGACCTTGAAAGGTCAACTTGAAAATTTGACCTCAGGTCAAGGTCATGACCTGACCGGAAAGGGTCATGTTGCATATCAGTCGATCCGTATCGTCGAGCTGAACACATCTAAGGCGTTTTCATCGCTCTAGCATGCCTCTATCAAAAGTTATTTGCGAAAAACTGTTAGATACCATTCATGACCTAAGATGACCTCAGGGCATAATCCATGAACAAGGGTCACGGACACCATTTTCATGTTCAGTGTGTCTAAACCACTTGTAATTCGGTGTTTGGGAGTGTTTATAATGTCTCGTCCAAAAGAGGCGCATTTCAATTTTCTCCCATTGACTTATAATGGGGAGGTCGCAAAATTGACCTGACCTTAGGTCATCGATATCAAAATTCTGAGATATACATTTTGTACATGCTATTGCCCTTAGCAATCGCTGAAAGTTTCAAAGCGATCGGTCACTCGGTGTAGCTATGACAGATATTGAAAGTTTTTATGAGGTGAGGTCACTTCAAGTGACCTGGTGACCTGACCTTGAATGACCTTGGTCTGAAATTTTCACAACATGTATAGAGTTGATGTATGATAAGGTGTACCAAAAACGGCGGCGCGGAGCGCCGCCGTTTTTGAGATATTCGCGAAAAACCACAAGGGGGGTGTTCAAACACCCCCCCCCCAGCAGGGCGCGGGTTAAGACCCACTGTCACGGGACATGGACCGAACGGGGGTCTTTAGAACTCTGTTGGCTCGCTTGCTTCACCTCCGTAGCTTCGACGACCATCATTGCTTCGTTCACGCCACCGCTATCGTCGCCACCGCCGCGGCCTCACTTATCGGTCTCTCGCTCTACTTCAGAGCTGCCGAGATCGATGAAAGCGCTGTAGTGGTTCGAAAACATCCCGATTCGTTCGCCAGTCGATGTGACCTGACTGAGACTTTGATACGTTTTTTTAGACCGACTTGTTTCTGTTGAGACCATTTTGTTTTCTACCGACTGTCTAGCTCTCAATAAAAATGAGACTTGCAATCACCATCACAACTGGGTGTCATAGTATGTGACAAAGTCGACACTACCAAGCGGATAAGGCCCACGCGTTGCCCGGCAACTGGCCCCACTTATCGTAACCTATGACGGATGACCGACGCCGGCTGGTCATATGGTCGCGGCGCGGCGGTGGTCTGGACCGCACTTATCGACTGGCTGGCAGATCGGCCTTGACCGATCTGCCGGTCGGAGCAGCGGTGTGCGATCCATCATCGGCTGGTCCCTAGCGAGCGAGAGACTTTCTCGGGTAGCAGCTGCAGCTGACCCCGCCGGCAGCTACTGAAGCTGCCGTCATCAGTGCTGAATGCAGCTAATGACCCACGCTAGCAACTGTTGTATGTAGCTGTTAACTATGCTGTGAATGAATGAGGAGGAAGTCCGGATCCAATATGCAGGTGGTAAATCGTTTATGATGTTTACCTTCACCAGTGTGCTCGCGGGAACGGCGCTACGAGGTAAAAAGTGGAGGCATAGGTAATGTGTATGGTGAGTTTGTGTTTTGCCGTTTTCCGTGCGAAGCGCGGCTTTTCACCGTTGTCGTGGCTGAAAAGATTTGTTGTGACGAAATACAACATGGTTATTGCGTACTTCATTATCGACATCATCTGTTTCCTAAGGGCTCCCTTATAATGGTGCGAGTGGTAACTCTGCATTCTAGTTTATACTTTATGTAGCCGCCGCCTTTCGGTTGTGAAAACTAAATTCACAAATAAATGACATTGGCTCCTGGTAGTTATAGTCAATAATTTCCTATAATGCAGCATTTATTCGTCTCTACAAACACTACGAGCGGCTCAGTGGATTACACTTGCCTCCGCCCCCCACGCCTTCACGAGCATTGCTCGGACGCTTGTTGCATCCTCCCCCTGCCCGCTGAGGCACGTAACAGTCCGCAGTGGTACTCATCTCACTCCCCAGAGACGGTGTGCGACACACCTCTTCCGGTGCCGTGAATCGCTGCCGGATGTCGGAGTTCTACAGGTCAAAGTTTGCCAGCAATTCTGTATAGAGAGCCGCCAGTTCTAGCTGAGCTCCGGGGTTCATAGCACGGAGAGACGGAATCGGGAAACGGAAATATAGTTCAACTGTCCGGTCGAGTTGGGAAGTCTGGGGTGTGGGAAAGAGATCAAAGGTACAGCCTGGAGAAGCGACATTTATATGTCGGGTGGTGATGGTGTTGTGTGACGGTGAACGGCTCTATTGCTCAGGCCAGTTGGATCCGAAATGACTTATTCTATAAACTAACGATGTGCGCTGGAAGGCTAAAATTGCCGAACGTGCCATGTGCATAGTTGGGTCGATCTCTTATCGGGATTGGCAGGTCGCTTTGGGGCTGCTTGGTGAGCTGCTTTGGGCCATGTCTAAAATGCCAGCTACGTCGCTGTTACATAAAAGGTCTCAATTCATTCGCAATGCATTTCGATGAAGCGGAACTTGGCCGACCAATGACTTCATTTCGACAGTTCCGCCGTCCAATAAATTTCCGGCTGCCATAAGACGTCGAGTTGGAATTGCCAGTGTTGTGTTTATGGCTACGTGTTGAGTGGCAGGTAACTGCAGAGTTGATGTGTAGTGGCATTGTGGCGCCGTCAAACGAGCTGTCTGTATTAGCACCTCCCGAACTTTGGTGTCAGGTCAGTGAGCGAGCGAAGGGCCGATTAATAAGTGTGCTATATTTCCCTTTCGAAGTGTGCTTGATTAATGACGCTCGATTATGACCGTTGGAACTATAAATTGCCCAACTTGCGGTGGTTTGTTTCTTAATAATTACCCTAGCGTTACGAATTATTTGTTTCCTGTTCATTGGCTATCCTGGGATGGGTCTGTGTAGAAAACATTGTAGCAGTATAGCATGAAATCAATGCATCTCTACGCCTCAAATCGATTCGAATTATTTCAAAGCATTATTACGTAGGCAAGGGCAGATATAGCAACTGAAATATTATTTTTAAACGGGCAGAGTACCTAAGCTTTCTATGTAATTTGAATCTGGCAACTGCTGCAATGCTAAGTGACCTTGTTTTGGCGGCTTCCAATGTCATATCACGGAACGAAGTTGAGAGCATGCATGTAACATTGGTATGCGTCGCTGTCCTTGTTGATGTCGAAACATGAGAAGTTTCGACATCTTCGTATTCCTCCTTAGGACTTTTCCCAATATCCGTATCCATCATTGATCACTCTCCCCTGCCCGGGGCTGTTGGTCAACAAGCTACCAGGCAAACAGTGAAGGCAGGGCAGGTGACACATTTGAGGTGGTATTTTGTGCCTTTTTCAAGGGTGGTCTTTCTCAAGTGACGGCCACAGCCGCGGCTGTGGTAGTTGGTAGTCGCATTATCCCAATACATTCCCCTTGCCTACCATAGCATGACCCTGAATTAGCGCTCTCGTATGGCAAGGAAACCAAACACAACCAAATAAGTAAACATATGCATTGTGAGTAATTAGGCTCATAGCCACAACTGTTCTGCATGGTGCCTCTTTCTAATTATGTCTTCTCTCTTCTGTCCGCAGACATTCAGGAGTTTTACGAGCTGACGCTGCTCGATGAGAGTAAGACGGTGTCTCAGAAAACGACTGAGACGATTCAGGTGGCCAACAAATGGGACTCGGCCGCAGCGCCCATCTCCCCGGGCAGCCTCATCATCGAAAAGGTCAGTCGGGGTCACGGGGGCACCAGATCGTATGTCGCTGGTCGCGGGTCACAGGGCGCAGGTGCCGGGCCAAATGTCATGAGTATTTTGTGAGATAATACGAAGTACGAGTCATAGCGCACTGGCCGTAGGTCACGACCGCAGGGCATGGTCGACTATGGGTCGTGAGGCATCACTTTTGAATAAGATTATGAGTGAAGCATATTTATCGTCTCTTTTTGAACGGCTCATCATTTATTGATTGAATGCGTCATTCAAGAAATCTGAGTTTCAATCAAGCGACGACGTACGGCAAGAAAGTGGCGACTATACTATAGTGGATGCGATGGTGCGGGCTGCGGCTTCATGTATCTTGGCTCGGGCGGTGGTTCCCAGCTGGCAAAGGCTTCATTATGATTATGGAAGTGTTAATACAGAAAGTCGAGTTTATTGGCAGAGCTTATGTTTCAGATAGATGACACATCTAGGATAATTCATATCATTGCATTCCATCGAAGGCTGATTTGTTCTGTGCCTCGGGCGCAGAGACCTCTGGCCGTCTAAGAGAAGTAATAGTTCGCCCAACACCCCATAGGTGGCGCATAGTCGGCAGTCATGTGGCTGCGAGCTTCTTCCAGACTAGAAATTGAAAAGTAATGGCTTCAACAATCAACATTGCTACAAGTTTGTGTAGTGGGAACTGGGAACTGTCGTCCATGAGGCTTATGTATCGTTTTAACACCGCATACTCGAGTAGACGCCTTATCAGATACCATCGTATACCCGGTCATGTTCATTGTTCAGGTAGGTACGCCATGCCATCATGGCATATTTTAACAAATTTTTACTGCGTCCCAAAGTTGAGCAGAGGGCACGTCATAGGCGGCGGAGCGGGGAGGGCACCGGGGCACCGTGCCCCCTTTGATTTTTGCATTTTAACATTTGCCCTATGGGTGTTGCATGGAAAGAATGGGACCAAAAGTCGGCAGTGCCCCCCCCCCCCCCCTTAATTGAGGGTGTTCCGCCGCTACTGGGGCACGTGCTACGACTAAGGGCACAGGGCAAGGAACAGAGTAGGGCACTGAGGAGGGCAGAAAGAAGGGCACGGCAGGTTACAGGGCATGGCACAGGACATTTTAGAGGGAAGGGTACAGGTCAGGGCACACAGCAGGGCACAGGTCAGGGAACCGGACAGGGCACAGGGCAGGGACGCAGTGGGTCAAATCAGCAGGGGCTACGTCCCAAGGCGAGGGGGCTGCGTCCCAGAATGGGACGCAGTAAGTGCCTTTAAATATGCCCTGATGCCATGCCTTTGCCTACGTGGTGCACACTACACCTTCCTACCTCATTGACGCTTGGGTGCTGCATAGTCTGACACCAAAGTTGTGAAACGAATAATGCATTAATGGCTCGTGCAATATAACCATAAGAAGCGCTTTTTTCAATGGCTCTCAATGCCCACTTCTATCATGCCAACTTTTGACATCTGATTGACTTATTTTAGGGGAGCGGTTTCCATACCTATCCAATATAAGATTGCGCTATAATAGCTAACAAATTACTTACACGCTTTTGGTCCCTGTTACGACTTACCCTCACAATAGACCGTTCACGGGCGACACGCGGTGGCCGTTGTGCTATTAGGGCCAGGTTTTGTCGGTAACGGCTATTGATCGGAGACCGAACGGCGATAGCGTGGATGGCCACTGGCCACTGATTGACCCAAGGGGCACATGGGTGGACCGGCAGTCACCTTAGTAGGCTGATCGGTGCGACTGGATTGACCCAGGGGGCGGAGAGGGGGCCGGCACTGGCAGTCACTTTACTGGGTCGATTGGTGTCGCTGATGGGGTGGGCTGTGAGTGACACACATTCGAAGATAGTGTAGCATAAATAATTATCCTGCCTCCTTATCCCTCTAGAAATGATTTTGAGATAGTTAGTTCATAACTGAGGTGAGAGCAGAATGTGCGATGACAGGTATCGACGCAATGCAGCATTTCAACTAAGCTTTTTTCGAAAGGGCTCGTGTACGAGCAATTTGTATTCGTGGCATTGACAGCTTGCGAGCAAGTGTGTTTTGCGCTGCTCGCTAGGTATCAAACTATTAATATTGGTACCATGGCATTGCAGCAACGTTGATGTTTTTTTTGTATTGATGGTTGTATTCTTTAATCAAACGATATCTTTAGGAAGACTTGGTGTTGAGGCTGGTGCTTCACACAGTCATTGCCTTTTTCTCATACAGCGGGTGTCTTGAAAGCGTTACAGACAGTCATTGAAGGCGATGCACACAATCTCTTTACCTAACTACGACTGTTGTTAGGTCGATTCTGGCTATAACGGTCACTGGCGACGTCATCTTGCCACGAACTACGAGCTTGCCGAGACAGCGACATCCTCTAGTCACCTATATTTAAAGAAACATGCTCAGGTGGTTGGCCAGGCATCCCCCGTGTCTGCCGCACTCGCCGCTCTGGCGTTGGGCGCGGCGCCTGGACCGGTATCCCGCCACCCGTCCGCTCGGCCGGGCGACTTGGCTCTGTCGACGCCGGTTATAATTGTATCTCGGCACATGTCTGAGCGTATGTTCGCACTGGCTCCCAGAGAGGGACTGGAGGTCCGAAGGTCGTCTCTATGGCGACGCTCCAATCCCTACCCAGCCGGTGGTGTAGTCTGCCGGATGGACCGGGATTAGAAGCCGGTGATTGTAATTAGGAACGGCGGTCGTCTAGGTAGTGCGGCTGATTTCGGTACCGGCAGTGGACTCCTCCGCAGAGAATGCCGCTGTTTGGTACTGTGGGCGTCGCTGGCAATCTGCAATGCGAATGGGTTGATTTGGTGTGTAATTGATTAATTTGAAGAATGGCTACAACCACCATGTATAGATGTGCTATTCGGCTGATTCAATTCACCAAACGCACTTAAAGTTTTTTTCCTCTTCCGTTGAGATGTGCAGATAGATAATTACAGAATGAAAATGTTTTATTCAAACTTCCCCGAACTCTTTCAGAATTATACATACACATGTGATTATTGGACAGGTCCCGTTATTAGGTCAATTCTTACGAGCCCTCATTCAACAACAATGTGAGCTTTTATTAGAGCAGTATCATGGAATGATTTTCGAGAAGGAAGCATGTTGCTTGTTACAAGCTGCATTGATCTCAAGGTGCACATCAAACATCAGCACTGCTTACATTCGTCGAAAGATAACACTACCCTTTCGCATCAGCTCAGCACATGATGCGTGCAGTGGTAAATGTGCTTCTGCCGTTATCCGGGAGACGTCAACAGCGGAAATAATCTGTATTGATTCTGGATTATTTGCATTGATCTGCGCACATACGCTTAGCAAATGACGTCCTTTTTAGCGAGCTTTGTGTGCAGTGTTTCTCCTGAAAGGTTAATTGACCGAGATGTCGTTTTTTTCGATGATGGACGCTCGTGTTGGGGTCATTGTAATGACAACGCGACATGTTCCGTATAAAACAGACATGCACATTTTCCCTTCCCTATTCTGAATATATATTTGGCTGATACATTCATGCTTATATCTAGTAGATGGAATCGCTCTCTGGTGCGGAGTCCGGTTTTGCGTATCTAGCAGGCTTCAGTTCTAATACATTCAATTATTTACATATATAAAAATCAAAATGTCTGTACGTATGTATGTATGTATGTAACGCGTCAGTCACGCTTTAAGGGCTATTGCTCCGGAACGGTGCGGGCTACGGGGGTGAAATTTTGGACATAAGTCAGACGCGTGCATCTGTTTGTCGTATTATATTTTGGTGGGGGTGCGCTCGCCGGTTTGCACGTGGCGGGCGCATCTTTGCGGGATTTTGGGCCGCGGCCGGCACCGAGCGGAGAGCACGCGCCTTAGGCTCAGTTTCTTCGCTTCCAAAACTGAGCCAAATCAGAGCCGGAAGGTCACTGACCTTTGGCAATGAATACCGGAACAGAGCACCGCCGGCCAGGAGGAGACGCCAAATTTATTCTGGCAATAACTCGGAAGCTACTGGGCCGATTTTAATGAAAATAGATTTATTACGCTGCGCGTAATGCTGTCCCTCTTTACGCTGCGCGTAATGCTGTCCCTCTAGTTTACATATATAAAAATCAAAATGTCTGTACGTATGTATGTATGTAACGCGTCAGTCACGCTTGGCGGGCTATTGCTCCGGAACGGTGCGGGCTACGGGGGTGAAATTTTGGGCGCAAGTCGGACGCGTGCATCTGTTTGTCGTATTAAATTTTGGAGGGGGTGGGTTCAGCGGTCTGCACGTGGCGGGCGCATCTTTGCAACATTTTGGGCCGCGGCCGTCGCCGATCAGAGAGCACGCGCATTATCCTCAGTTTCTTCGCTTGCAAAACTGAGCGAAATCAGAGCCGGAAGGTCACTGACCTTTGGCAATGAATACCGGAACAGGGCACCGCCGGCCAAGAGGAGACGCCAAATTTATTCTGGCAATAACTCAGCCGGTACTGGACCGATTTTTATGAAAATCAATTTATTACGCTGCGCGTAATGCTGTCCCTCTTTACGCTGCGCGTAATGCTGTCCCTCTAGTTACATATATAAAAATCAAAACGTCCGTATGTATGTATGTATGTATGTATGTATGTATGTATGTATGTGACGCGTCAGTCACGCTTGGCGGGCTATTGCTCCGGAACGGTGCGGGCTACGGGGGTGAAATTTTCGACGTAAGTCGGACGCGTGCATCTGTTTGTCGTATTAAATTTTGGTGGGGGTGGGTTCGGTGGTTTGCACGTGGCGGGCGCATCTTTGCGGGATTTTGGGCCGCGGCCGGCGCCGATCAGAGAGCACGCGCCTTAGGCTCAGTTTCTTCGCTGCAAAACTGAGGGAAATCAGAGCCGGCAGGTCACTGACCTTTGGCAATGAATACCGGAACAGAGCACCGCCGGCCAGGAGGAGTCACCAAATTTATTCTGGCAATAACTCGGCCGCTACATACTGGGCCGATTTTAATGAAAATTGATTTATTACGCTGCGCGTAATGCTGGACACCTAGTTTACATATATAAAAATCAAAATGTCTGTACGTAACGCGTCAGTCACGCTTGGCGGGCTGTTGCGAGGCGA